CTCTTCTACTATTCACTTCTCCTCCTCCTCTCTCTCTCTCTCTCCTTTCGACACTCTTCATCCTCTACATTTTCCCCATTTTAATCCCTGATTTTAAATGGTCCATCTTTCTTTTTTTCCGATAAACATTGTGACGACTTTTTTGTTTATTTATTCCTTTCTTCTTGTGAATTTCGCTTGTTGAGGTTTTCAACCATGAAATATCAAACAATAAAATACTTAACAACATACTGAGCTAGATGATGAAATGCAGGATTATACATATAAAACACTTTGTACAACATATAATAACAACCAAGATATACAGGATACCAACATATATATAATTACCTTATAGATCAGTACCGCATTAAAAAGTTTTGGAGCCATGCACACTACGAAAAAGTTGCCACTCCTTCCCTTAATTAAGCTAGACAGAGAGAGTATATGATATATAGGGCCTGTGAATATCATAACAACGTCCTACATCATTACTAGTATTAATAAAATAAAACAAACAAGCGCCACTAAAAGTGCAGTGATTTTGTGTTCTTACTCAATCAATTTAATCTACTATATAAAGCAAAGTGTGAGCCCGAGAAACAAAAAAGGTCGTATATCTATCATGTCAAATTTGCTCCTTCATAATCAACCAGCACCAAACTTGACACAGTGATACAGGGTGACATGGGGAGGGTAATGGTGGTGGTGGCGGTCTGCACCCCCATCTAATTTCAAATCTAATTTGGAAAAATTACCAAATCAGCACAACGTGACACAGTGCTACAGAATGACATGAGGGAGGGGGTTGGACCCCTCCCCCCCCCCCACGTCTAATTTCATATTAATAGAATTCTTGAAAATGGTTTGTCTTTCTTTTCAGTATTGGTACCTTTGTGTATTTTTCTTGCACTTTTAATGTTTATGATGTTAAGAAAAAATAGAAGCACAATTTCCTATCCTTTGTTATAAACGAGTTTTTATTCACCCGTCCAACGGACGTGTAGACCAGCTGGTTACAAATATAAATAATCAAAAAATAAATCTTTCTCCCCTGCCCCATTGAACTAATTGATAGGCTGAAAAAGTATTGTGCTCATTGTAAAACATAAATAACTGATTAACACTTGTGTGTATTGTTAAGTTAGACCAGTTGTATTTCTTTGGGGTATTCTCTTCGGGGGCTCCTGAAATCCATGTGCAAGTGCAACGAGTGTAAATTGGTTAATCCTAGCCTGCTGTAGCTAGACAATACTTTCGGTCTGTAGTTAAAGTACCACGTGTTTTTGTTCCAGATTATTCTTAGATGAACAAATAACAAAGGCTTTTACTCTTAATGCTACTACTGATTTGCTTATTAGTTTTATACTATGAATCTCACTTCTTATAATCTCGATATCAAAGCCTATAGACAGAACAAAACCTATACCCATATTTATACTCAGCACAGTACAATGGAGGAGGCTGTTCATTGCAAGGAACGTAGTTTGAGAAGTAAAATACATAGTAAATATCATAGAACATTGTGTGCTCAAGACAGTAATATTTTATATATCTATACTTAGAAATACGCCCAGTATAGTAAACTAGCATAGTTATGTATAAAACCCCCTTGCCCTAAAAGCACAACCTTCACTTCTTACCAGGTAATATAAAATATAAGGTAGCAAAATATTTGTACATGAAAGCATAAGTAACATGAAATTTTTCCCTAAATTGAAAGAATTTCAAAGTACATTCCAGAAAACTTGATGAGCAGACTTTGTGTAGGTTAAACAGAAAAAGTCGTACATAGCTACGGATACAGACAACTTAGTAAACAGAATGACCTTTGGTCAGACAAATAAACAGATGCACACTGCTTTTATATAATGCAGATACAAGGTAGACGTTATTTGTTTGTTTATAGTTAAGCACAAGGCTACACAATAGGCTATCTGTTCTGTGCCCACCATGGGTATCGAAACTCGGTATTTAGCGTTATAAGTCTTCAAATTAACCGCTGTGCTATTGGAGGGCTACACGTTATTAAAAATATTTTGTGTGAGGCAGACAAACAAGTTGACTCATCAAGCTGAATACACTGTAAGTCGCCAGGTAGACAAGTTATTAAACAGATTGACTTTGTGTCAGACAAAATGACACACCTCACTGAACATAGTATAGTCGCTAATGTAAATAAAGCGTTAGTGTGACCCTAGAATTTTTAAATCATTCTTTGTCATTTATTATTTAAATCTAGATAAAAAATAATGTATGAATGATATAAATATATCTGTTCTGTGTTTATATGATACTATTCTTACCAGATACTCTCACCATAAGATGTGAAGTCAAAGAACCTATGGAGCTAAGACGGCCCACTCAGGCTAACCGCAGCGCTCCAAGCGTCCGATTTGATAGAAACAGCTGGGCTTCTAGTTGCTGCTCAAGGAGGTTACCGTATAAAAGCTTCGCTTGCATGCACACATATTACGCTCCCTGTTTATGTTAAAAAAAAAACAGCTTAAAAAAGTCTGTGCTATCAATCCCAGTTTGGGTTAGTGTGTTTAATAAACATAATAACTATCGATTGTAGTATGTTTCCTCGTTTTAAATCATGATCATTAATTTGTTTCTTTTAAATATTTGTGAGAACTCTAGAATTTCCCTGCACACTTTACATTCTTAGCCGTTCACCACATCGACGAAATTTGTTTATCATGAGATGATAGCATGCTAATTCAATATCAACATCGGAAAGCATGTGTTATAAACATATACAAGGAATATGACTTTCACTGTGTTGTTTACTCAAACAGTGTCTTAACATCATTGGTGTTTCATGGTCGGGAGGAGTGTCAAAAACTAGCAAATGCATGAAGGCCAGGTTGCCCTAACAACATCAGATTTTTCTTATTCTCGAAGCTGTCTCGGTAAGAAACTGTGAACTAATATCTTTTAATGATGTATTGTATTATTGAGATATGGTGCTATGTATACCTATTATATAAATGTCACTAACATATTCAATCTAATATGTAATAACACTTGATGTGTTGTTCCTTGGGTGTTTACTACAAACACTTTCAATCACCTGGGTATAGCATCTTTTCATGTATTACGTTCACTTAACATGATATCCCATGAATTCTTGTTATGACTCATTAACTTCTCATAACATTTAACATTAAATGTGGCCACTAAAGCGTGAGAAGTACATACATGTTAGTTTATTTCACTCTCACATCAAGATTAATGATAATAAAAACGCGTTCCTAATTCCAAACTTGTCATAAAATGTGCGATTAAATGGAGGGCTTGTTAAGTGTTATCAAAGTAGCGGTTAGATAGTGCAGTTGAAATTTCATCACGCTTATAGAGAGGGGGAGTAGGCCGTCCTAGTGATATATGGTTTAACTTGGCTTGTTTTGAATTTCGCGCA